CCCCCCCCCAAATCCCACCAGTCCCCCCTACCTTATAAAAAATGAACGGTCCCTAAGCGATTAATTGTAAAGATACTTTGATACACTGACTGAGCAACTTGCTCATGAGAAAGTTAAATTTAGTTTTCAGTAGAAAGCCAACACGTGGACCTTAGCAAAATCATGTTATTCTTTTTCAATTTCAGATGGATATCGGGGAATCACCAATCGGTGGTAAGAAGCTGTAATGTACTAATTTAGCCAGGCCTAAAATTAGGCCTTGCAGTGATTTGTTAGTTTCTTTTCAATTATTATTTGGCTTAAATTTACAAACGTTAGAGAGTGATTTAATTTGTCCCGTGTAACAACACCCAACAATTAGTTCAAAAAACCCAAAACTAAAAAAACGAAAACAACGGAATTAAGACGAAATCGAGCAATTTCAGTTTTTAACGGACAAAAATCTTGTACCAGAGTAACTTTAAGTGTATTTTAATACAGTGCGTTTTCCATTTTACAAAAGCTTAAGATATAAATAGTTGCCTTAAATAACACCAAAAATAATGTCCCGTCGGAACTCGAGAAAATCATGCAATTTTAAAGCTCAGAAAAATTGTGCAAAGATAGGTAAAATTTCATCATCAGTTTCATTTCACCAATAGTTTTAAGTGTTTTATACGAATTTCTAAATTTGTTTTCGACATTTGGTGTTGCTAGAAATTATTTCTTTTGAGAAGATATTTAAAAGTTGCACAGAAGTTTGCAATACGATGTATTAAATAACAAAGTTTTTGTCCGCTTAACTTGTTACTCTAAATTACTGTGGATTCCCTCTTAATGTCTAATAGTATGTCTACTTGTGTAGCTGCTACGAAGCTCAATAATTTTTTATAGAGTTCTTGAATTTAGAATGATTGTTTCGTGATCATCAATTGTTTATAATTTTTTAGCCACTACGTTAGTCTTGTGATTCTAGGGCCGACTGCCCACACATTGAGTCTCATGACTTCAAGTCGTTTAATCTTGTTTATCGAGAGTAGTTAAGCTTCGAACAATCCCCTATCGATGGTCATGTTTGTGTTTGTCTACTGACCTTGGTCTGAATCCCTCACAAAGATCCTGTTTAGGTTTCTTGTTCTCTAAACTTTAGTTTCTATTGGTTGTTTCAAAAACTTTGTGGCTCGCTTCTGAGAGTCGCGTGAAAGTGTTTGGGTTAGTATTCTAAAACGGATGTTCAATCGACCAAGGTCATTCTTTTGGCCCCACATAGCTGCCGATACACTCTTTAAGTGCGTGTGCATTTGTTTGTCGAAGTAGAAAAAGTATAGAAGTTGAACTAAGATTGTGCTAGACAGTAGACCCAACATAAAAGAACCCACATTCTTGGTACCCCTCGTTTGGGCGATACTGAGGGAAACCAACATAGCAATTATTTTAAGGGTAGGGTAAAATCCCTCTAAATGGCAGAATAGTAAAAAGTATGGGAAACCAAAAACAAGCCAATGTATGTAGAAACCAACTTGAAGACAAAACAGAAATTTCAAACAGTTTCTACACTGCGCAACAAAAGGCCAAAATTGATATACGTAGCTTACGAAAAGCGAAACTTGTAAATAAATTTATTCAATTAACGAAAAAGGCAATCATTTGTGCGAGAGTTCGCGTCCTATTGGCAATTATATTTACAAAAATGTTTAACAATTAAAAATTGACAATTTTCAGAGTATGTTATTTGTTATTTTCATTTAAAACGTTGATACCTTTCATTTAAGAGAACTTCCCCGAAAAAGATTGATTCTAAACAAGCTCTGAGGGAAGAGCGAATTTGTCTATTAATTACCGCTAGATCATAGCTGTCATCATGTTGTCACGCGCTTGTAGCGTGACACGAGTGCAAGCTCAAAACGAGTTGAATCGCGTCGGAGTCGTTGAATTTTTGGCGTGTAGGTCGAGGTTTCTTGAAAGTTAGATAATATTTTTCATGTCGTCAAAGAGGAAAAGGAAATGGTTTTGTCCTTTTTCAGGTGCGAAGTAGGCGCCCAAGAAGGAAAAAAGGGTCGATATATTTTTTTATTCTTGATTGTTATTACACGATTATTTATTTAGATTAGCTACATGGTGATCTGTCTCGCATGGAGTGTTCCACTCTTTTACAGATTATCCTTATGACTTTGCCTGTTTGTGTATGCCTTTAGACTTAGATTTAATTGCCATTAAATTGTTATAAATAAAAAAAAATAAATATATACATCTTGATAACCAAACACGAGGGCCGTGCTCGGAGTATAGGTCCAGGGCCCCGTTTCTCGAAAGACCCGGAAACTTTTCGGGCCCGTAAAGCCATTTTTAGTTCATATGTATCTACAAACGGAGTAGTGTATACGCCTGAAACTTCTTGTGTGAAGGGAACCTTTGTTCATATTAAGAATACGTGAATAAAAGAGCGCTATAATCGTAACGTTCGAGATTTTGCTATGGCTTTCCGGGCCCAAAAAGTTTCCGGGGCTTTCGAGAAACGGGCCCCAGGGCGCTTATATGTAGGGCGGTGAAACGAGCGGGTCCGAGCAAAAAGGTGTGATGCGGTAGACTGGGGTCTACTAACACGAGCAGATCCGCTTACTTACACCGGAACTTAGATTTCTAAAGAAATTCCACGAAGCTCCCTTCTCTATGAAGCAGCAACGTTTTTGGTGCATTTTTGTTCTGAGGCAATGGGAAAAGGTTAGTTTTTCAGGTTGAAAACAGGACTTCAAATTTCGCGCCGTAAAGGCTGGTTTTCACTGGCGACGGAGTCGTAGTCGGAGTGAGACGATCGGGGATACGATCTAGTGAAAATCAAACCGACGGAGTCGGAAGTAGAACACCCGCTTATGACTCCGTCGCTTACGATCCAGTGAAAACTAGATTGTCGGAGTCGGAAGCAGAGGCGGAAGAATAAACCAATTACAATGCTCCATTCTGGGCCTTGTGACTGTTTGGTTCTTCCGCTTCTGCTTCTGACTCCGACAGTCTAATTTTCACTAGATCGTAAGCGAC